GATTTTTGGGGGGATTTTGGGGATTTTTAGGGATTTTGAGGAATTTTTAAGGAATTTGGGGAAGATTTTGGGGATTTGGGGGGAATTTGGGGAAATTTTGGGGATTTTTAGGGAATTTTGGGGGGATTTTGGGGATTTTTAGGGACATTGAGGGGATTTGGGGGGAATTTGGGAAACTTTTAGGAAATTTGGGGGGATTTTGGAGAATTTTGGGGATTTTGGGGAATTTTGGGGATTTTTTGGGGGTATTTTCGGGATTTTTTTAGGGAATTTGGAAGAATTTGGGGGGATTTTGGGGATTTTCAGGGAATTTGGGGAAATTTGGGGGAATTTTGGGGTAATTTTGTGTAATTTCAGGGTAATTTGGGGTGACTCTGGGGCAATTGTGGGAATTCCAGGTGTTTTTGGGATATTTTCAGGTGATTCCAGGTGATTTCAGGATTTCCAAATAATTTGGGGAAAATTTTGGGAGAACTTCGGGATAATTTTGGAATAGTTTTGGGATAATTTTGGGATAAATTTGGGATAATTTGGGGATAATTTTGGGATAAATTTGGGATAATTTGGGGATAATTTTGGGATAACTCTGGGATAATTTTGAGGTAATTTCAGGGTAACTTGAGAATAATTTTGGGACAATTTTGGGATAATTCCAGGATAATTCCAGGATAATTTTGAGATAATTTTAGGATAAGTTTGGGATAATTTTGGGATAATTTCAGGACTATTTGAGGATAATTTTGAGATAATGTCAGGATAATTTCGGGATGATTTCGGGATAAATTCGGGATAATTCCGGGCTAACCCCGCCCCTCCCCTCCCCCCCCCCTTACCTGAACCCCTCCCCTGCCCTCGGCCACGCCCCCCGCGCCGGGGGCTCCTCCCCAAAGCGGGGTGGGGGAGGGGTCCCCGACTCCTGCACCCCCAACAGGTGGCGCCGGCCCCTCCCCCCGGGTGGGGGAGGGGCTCCGGGCCGGGGGAGGCTGTGGGGGAGGGGAACAGGTGTCACAGGAGGGGGGGGAGGGGTCTCACCTGAGCCCCGCCCCCCCCGG